ATATATATATATATATATATATATATTTCCCATCTTAAATTATTTCTAAAATAAACAAGCGGATTAAACCGATAAAAATGTTTTATTTTTCAAATTATTGCATTTAGGGTTATTAATAAAGCATTTTTATATATCGCTAATTTAAGAGTTATTAGTATAATTGACTGCTGTATTTTTTTTTACCCATTACAAGCTTAGTTTTATAATATTTTTTTTAGATTTTTTTAATTTAAATTTATTAAATATTTTGTACTTTTTTTTAAATATTCTTTTTTATCTAATTAAATTTTATTCATGTTTGTGCAATAGGGTTAAAATAAACTATGAAATATTTTCTTGTCAAAAAGATGAAATAATTTAATTAAAAAGTGAAAATATAGCTAACCTAAAAAAAACCTAAATCGATTAAATTCACTCAAGTCAAATAAAAAATATTATAATGTATGTGTATATAAATATATATTTAAAAAATTACTAAATATTAACTAAAATTTAAATTAAAAAATTTAAAAAATATTATAAAAATGAGCTTGTAATGGGTAAAAAAAATACAGCAGTCAATTAGACTAAAATAACTCTTAAATTAGTGATGCAGGTTGTTTTGTTATCAACATGTTTGTGTGGATGTACATCTTTGTAATAAAACTTTGTAAAAGAATTCATATATTCCTCCGGGTCATGTCAGTACAAACAAACAAACAAACAAACAAACAAGTAAATAAATAAATAAATAAATAAGCAAGCAAATGAATAAAAAAGTAAATTAATAATTCAATAAATAAATGAAATAACTTTTTTTACCAGGAAAACCTGGTTTTAGGATTTGTAGTGTCATTTTCAAGAGTGTTCTGACTTATCAGAGCATTGATATAGTGCAACTTGATTTGAAGAGTTTCTCTACATTCACTTTTAAGTCGCTTTGTATAAAGTGTATTCTAAATAAGTTAATGTAAATGTCATATGTTTTGTCTTTGTGTTGTGTTTGTGTGAAGGAGCAGTGCGCTCAGTTCAGTGAGATCCTGGGCAGCGTTTCCGCTCGCCTTCAGCGACAACGGCCAGAAGAGGGTGATGTGGAGCCAATCTCACCAATGCAGCTGCCAAACTCCCCGAAAAAACAGCTGTCAGCCACACCTGGATCCAGAGAACAAGACTCTCAACAAGTCACCAAACGCCACCGAAAACTCCTAAAAACCAGCGCCATACTGCGGCCGCACACAAACACTTCATCATCATCATCATCATCAGCAGCAGCAGTAGCAGCGTCATTACTATCAGAAAAGAACACACGGCGGCTGTCAGACGTTCAGGAGGCCCGCAAACGCATCGTACGTGAAGTCTGCGGGAAATACCGCAGTAATATTTCCCGAACGATAACGCCACATCATGTATCGCGTATATATGTTGAGGACAGACATAAGCTTCTGTATTGCGAAGTCCCGAAAGCGGGATGCTCCAACTGGAAGCGGGTGCTGATGGTGCTCGCTGGAGTCGCCAACTCAACGCAGGACATCAATCACGTCGCTGTACACTACGATAACCATCTGAAACGGCTGGATAGTTTCGATCGGCAGGGTATAACGAAGCGTTTGGAAACGTACACTAAAGTCCTATTCGTCCGCGAGCCTATGGAGCGACTAGTGTCTGCGTTTCGGGATAAATTCGAAAGTCCTAACTCCTACTACCATCCTGTTTTCGGAAAACCAATCATATCAAAATACAGAGTCAATGCATCGCAGACGGCACTGAAAACGGGAAGCGGTGTCACGTTTCGAGAGTTTATTCACTATCTGTTGGACGTCCATCGGCCTGTTGGAATGGACATCCATTGGGAAGCCACCAATCAGCTTTGTAGCCCTTGTCACCTCCGCTATGACTTCATTGGGAAAGTGGAAACGTTGGAAGAAGACGCCAATTTTCTTTTGCGAAAAATCAAGGCGCCGGAGAGCTTGACGTATCCATCGTTTAAGGACGGGAACCCGAAAGCGGCCAGAACTTCCACGCAGATCACGCAGCATTATTTCTCGCAGCTGAACGCGTCCGAGCGCCAGCGGGCGTATGACTTCTACTATATGGATTATTTGATGTTTAATTACTCCAAACCCTATAAAGACCTGTACTGAGGCCTGTGCTGGAGCCCGTGCTGAAGCATTACATGTGCGCTGTCTGCTAGGATATGACTTATTACACTGCAAACAAAAAAATATGTAAATGCTTTTCTTACGTTGAGTTTGAGTTTCGTTTCTGGTCTAAATATCTAAACATTCTTACATCAAGAAGAATTCTCTAGACAAGCAATACATTCAGTCTTGATTTAAGAAATAATGAGTCTAATTGAAGAGAGTTTTTCCTGAAATCAAGCTAAATAATCTGCCAATGGGGTGATCAAAATAATCTTGCTTCTCCTTTTGACATGAAATTATGACAAATGTTGTTAAAGATTAAATATATTTCAAATAATGCAAATGTTTTACATTTTGCAAATTAAATCATTATTAAAAATCATCTAATTTAAAACCTAGGCTCAATGTGGATACGTACCCAGGTCTACATTTCTGGGGACAATGAAATGCGTAACCGGAGGTGCGTCTGCTCGCAGTTTTTGTTTTTGCAAATTCACCAGAGGCAACGCTTTTTGATGATCTCAAATTTCTCTTGCGTGTCCTGTTCTAAATCCACCAGAGGGCGCAATATACACTTCAGCCGACCATGGATGCGTTTCCCAAAACCATCGTTAGCCAACTAAGGTCGCAGGTTCCATCGTTACAAATATAGTTTGTTGATTTGCCGTTTCCCAAATCTGTCTCTTCAACGAACATTCGCAAACTGCATCGCAAACTTGAGCACTGGCAACTACAGTTCTGGAGCTGTAGTTAGAAACATAGTTCCTGGCTGTGTTCTATTCCCACTTATCCCCCCTGTGCCCTATTCATTTAGAACATCAAAACATTCAAATTTGGAATTCTTGAAAATAAAAAAGCAGTAAAGACATCTCTCTTATGTGTAACTTGCTTTCGGAGTATTTTTACAGTTCAGTTTTAGCGATCTTCATGTTTACAATTGTGCTGCCTTCGCAGTGCACTTTGATGTCATTTTAAACGCAGCCATTTTAATTCTTTAAATTTATAGTGGGTTATTTATTAAGTATATGTACTGTATATGACACTGGCCTGCTGGTTAGAACTTTCTGCTGTGGTTTACAAGTGTCAAATTGTAAAAATAGACTCAAAATATTTATATATATATATATATATATATATATATATATATATATATATATATATATATATATAAAAACAAAATCCTACTTCATTATAATCATCATCATCATTAATATTATTGTTAAAGTATGTTTTTAATAAATAAATAAATCTAATAAATAATAAACATTACATTTAATTTTATAATAAATAGTCTCACTATTTATTTATTTAGATGATTTATATGATATTAGTTTTAGCTTTTGTAAGTGATATGTTTTAAAATGGAATATTATAATGTTCAATTTCTCAATAATATTAGTAAAGCGAACTCTATGTGCCATTTACAGTTATTTCAGTTAATATGGAAAGCTCGGGCATGTTTTCACCAAATCTAATATTGGATTTTATTTTAAATGTGTGTGTAAAACAATATAATTTGCACAAAGAAATTATGGATTTTTCTCTAAAAAAGTAGTTCCTCCACCCAGTTTAGAGCATCTTTATGGGCGTTTTATGTTATAACTAATGTGGTTCAAGCCATGGTTATGCGACAGAGAAACTACACATTTTGGGATACACTCATCACTACATCGTTCTTTTCCCAAACGATGCATCGTACTATGATAGTTCAGCCGCGAGTTACGTCGTTGTTTGAGAAACGCACCCCAGCACAGCTTGCAGTCGACTGACTGACTAAAAAAAAGTGTTTGTTTTTTTGCTTTAGCTTTACCTAGTTTCTGGAACCGTTATTTACCCCACTCAAACCCTATCACCGCGGTCAACTCTGCTCAAGTCCCAACTGTAACACCGAAAAAACTGTAACACCGAAAAAGCCGTCCATACGTTCCATATGTTCGAAAGCAATACATAAAAATGACCACTAGATGTCACTGTGGAGATGGGTTTTGAAACGTTTTGAAGCTTTGACACATTTGCTTCGACTGTTTCAGTGTTTTATTAAGCCACTATGAAATGCAGCCAGACATACGATGTTGCTAAAAAATGTCGTGTTATTTTATAACCAGTTTTGGGTGTAATAAGAACAACCCAACAACTGAGTTAATTGTTTTTTATTAAATTAATACAGACATGTCCAAGCTCGGTCCTGGAGGGCTGGTGTCCTGCAAAGTTTAATTCCAACCCCAATCAGCAGGGCCAGACGGATTCTGCGGACCTTTTTTGCTATTTCTGCGGAGAATTTTGGTAAAAATCTGCGGATTTCTGCGGAATTATTTTGTGAGTATCCAGCGGAGTATCATAACTAAAACCTTAATATATTAAATAAAAAGTAATAAGTTACTGAATAAAAACTGAATAAATTCAGATTTACACAAGTTAAAAAACAGAATTAATAATGGGCTAAAAATGTGGGCCTACCAATCAGACACTCCTGGGCTAGCAAATCAAGCTCTTTCTAGGCATTCTAGAAACATCCTTGCAGGTGTGTTGTGGCAAGTTGGAGCTAAAATCTGCAGGACACCGGCTCTCCAGGACTGAGTTTAGACACCCCTGAATTAATAGGACCAATTTTAACCCAGTGTTTGGGTTGGTCCATATTTTAGTTTATTTGGGTTAACATAAGCCAGCATTTCCTAGAGTGTAAAATCTTTGATGAAACAAAAACTCTGCCATCGTTTTCTCCCCCTCAAAGCGGATTTATACTTCTGCATCAAGTGCACACATATGGTCGTGCACAGCCTTTGCGCGTTCGCATAGCTCTCACTGTGGCTGACGCCGACATGTGTCTCTCAAAAAATTTAAGTACACGTCACAACGACGCATAGCGCAAGCTCTGTGATTGGTCGGCTTGGTAGCAGTGATGAGCGTGGCCAGTGTAGAAACCCGAGAGCCCGATGGAGCGAGTGTTTACAAGTGTCGAGTTCCGTGAAGGAGCTCCAGATGGAAACTTTTGTTTTGTGTTTACCTTATGATTAAAGTTGTTGCATGTCCGCCAGTTCCTGCCTCTGAATGACCGAGTTTGAGCTCTTTTAGCCTCCAGAAAAAACAAAACACCCACAATGAAACTCAACACAGAGGTATATAAGAACCTACTGCCAGCTAGTGTTTTGGAAGTGCTATTTCATGACTGTGTGCAAGACAGGCGCCGTGGGTCACACCCATCACTCGATGCAGAAGTATAAATCAGCCTTGACTGATCGACTGACCCGCCCACCCCCGTCCCTAAACCCAACCGATAGTGTTTTCAAAAGCAATCTAGCAGTACTGGGTTAATTTTTTCAATTAAATGATTAGGGCCAAGTTTAACCCAGAGTTTGGATCAGTCCATATTTTACCAGTTAGCGTTTAAATAACCCAGCATTTCTTAGAGTGTAAAATCTTTGATGAAGCTAAATTTCCTCACCCTCACGCTACTTCAAAACTGAATCCGTCACTTTCTTTCTGGATTCAATCGAACTAAACAGTTGCGGGTCATTGACTGAAATTGACCATGGTACTGAAAAGAAAAACTGCACAAGTCAGTGAGTATAAGGCTGCTTTCACATCTGTAGTTCACTTCATTTGTTCCGGACCAAGGCCAATAAATGATGCATTGTTGCATTTCTGCCGTCTTTGGGTCGTTTTCACACCACACTGCTGGCTTTGGTCCGAACCAGTTGAAACGAACCAAAATGCAGTCATGTGACAAAATCCACATCTCTCATTGGCCAGATGTTGTTGAACATATTTCCTAAACTGCTTATTGATTGGTCAGAATTCACGTGCAGGAAAATGCCAGTGAACTCCCGCACGTAAACAAAACCGGCAGACACAAAGTGACGTTTTTACTCTGGAGGGACGACTGCGCTGCTGATTGTATGTGCTGCTGATTGTATGTCTGCTTTAGACAAACTTTAAATTTCGAGAATGAAGCGCGGCTGTGGCTGGAAAACAGTGTTTAGTGCGTCGCTCGTCACTTCAGGTGGAAGAGTGAATTAATTTAGCTAAACTACAACATGGTCATCTTGCGGAAATATTAGCAACGATCCATCAGGTAATGTTTTCCCCTCTCTCTCTCTCTCTGTTGGTAAAGCGCTGTCAACAAATATTTTTCCTCCATATCCCATAATGCACAGCGCATCGGTCTACGGCAGCTGGATTAGTCCAAAATGCGCAGTACTTTTTTCGGTTGGACATGTTTTAGTACGGATCATATTCTCACTACAAACAAACCACTCCAGGGTTCGTTTGAAAGCGTACCGAGACCACCTCTTCAAGCAGGTCTCGGTTCGCTTGTTTGGTCCGCTTTTGGTGCGCACTCGAGAACGATTGCTGCATTCTCACCAGCCCAAACCAACCGCACCAAAAGGGGAAACAAACTCTTGTCCGTTTCAATCGAACTAAATAAGGCAGGTGTGAAAGCACCCTTATAGAATGTTGTGGGTGAAATATCTTTGACTAACATTGTAATGAAATCATTCTTTAAAATCACTTATTTTGGCCATATTATTTCTCAAAACAAGACAATATGTTTTCCTTGTCTAGAAAATGCTTCTTGATTTAAGACTTTATATTTGGACTAGAAACAAAACAAAGGAAAGCATTGTTTTGCAGTGTAGACCAATCCACATTTACACTATCTCGTCTTCTTGGGAGATTCAGCACTATCATTTGCCACTAAAAGAAAATGGTGTGACTCAACAAGGTAATGTGTGAAAACCCTGCATAGTCTATAAAACAGATGCACTATTGTTTAAGAGTTTGGGGATTTTGATCAAATTTAACAAACGATTATTTTGTTTAAATAAATGATTTGAACATTTCAAACATCAAACAGTTGCAGAGCACTTTAGGTTCAAAACGTTTTAACTCGCAAGCAAAACCTTGATTTATTCATTCATTTTCCTTCAGCTTAGTCCTTTATTTATCAGGGGTCGCCACAGCAGAATGAACTGGCTAACCACTGAGCCAATGTGCTGGCCAAAACATTTCAATTAGCAAAAAACATTTGAACTTTCAAGCAAAGATTTCAGATCCACAAATTTCAAAGGTGCATAATGAAAATTGTGTTAATTGCATAAAAAGGCAAGATATTTTCTCTTGTTTGCAATGCAAAGAACATTATTTTTAATTACAGCACATTCATATATTTTCCTTGGACTTTGTTCCTTATTAATTAGGGGTCACCGCAACAAAATGAACCGCTAACTATTCCAGTATATGTTTTATGCCCTTTCAGCCGCAACCCATCACTGGGAAATCATATACCTTTTTTTTTAAATTAACAAAACCTGTTAATTGCAATCCTTTATTTTATTTAAATTTTTTTTTTTTTTTGCTCTCACAAATTTTAGATTAAATAATTAATTAAATAATCAGAAATTATAATTAATAAAAAATAATAAATAAAATAATTAATAAAATAAAAAATAACAATAAAATTATTATTAAAATAAAAAAATAATTAAATAATAAAACTAAACTGACCATAAACTGATTATTTCTGAAAACAAGACAAAATTTTTTGCTT